CAACCCAAGTTAAAAATGTAATTATTCATCCTCTTTTTGTTCTGCAAAGCAAATCTGCCTGAAGGAAAATGTTAGCCTGTTTTGTAAGTGTTGCAGACATCTTAACTTGCAAACATCTGGCCTGTCTTTTGAGTTTTTAGATATCTGGCCTGTCCGGTAGATCTTGTTGGCGTTTGATAAGTCTTATTGTCATCTGGCCTGAGTGGAACTGTGGTAGACATTTCACCTGTCTTGTTTGTCTTGTAGGCATCTGTCTTGTCTGGTAAGTGTTGTATCCATCTAACCTGTCTGGTAAGGGTTGTAGCTATCCTGCCTTTCTTGAAGCCATAGATCTGGCCTGTCTGGTAAGTCTTGTAGGCATCTGGCGTCTTGTAGACATCTGGCCTGTCTTGTAAGTCTTGTAGGCATGTGGCTTGTCTGGTAAGTCTTGCAGGCATCTGGCCTGTCTGGTAGGCATCTGGCTGACTGGTGAGTCTTATTAGCATCTGGCCTGTCTCATGAGTCTTGTATGCACCTGGCCTGTCTAGTAAGTCTTGTAGGCATCTGGCCTGTCTGGTAGGCATCTGGCCTGACTGGTGAGTCTTGTAGACATCTGGCCTGTCTGGTAAGTCTTGTAGGCATCTGGCCTGTCTGGTAAGTCTTGTAAGCATCTGGCCTGTCTCATAAGTCTTGTATGCACCTGGCCTGTCTGGTAAGTCTTGTAGGCATCTGACCTGTCTTGTCAGTCTTGTAGATATCTAGCTTGTCTAGTAAGTCTTAAAGGCATCTAACCTGTCTGGTAAGTCTTGTAGATATCTGGCCTGTCTTGTCAGTCTAATAGGCATCTGACCTGTCTGGTAAGTCTTGTAGGCGTCTGGCCTGTCTGGTAAGTCTTGTAGGCATCTGGCCTGTCTGGTAAGTCTTGTAGGCATCTGGCCTGTCTGGTAAGTCTTGTTGGCATCTGGTTTGTCTGGTAAGTCTTGTAGATATCTGACCTGTCTGGTAAGTCTTGTTGGCATCTGGTTTGTCTGGTAAGTCTTGTAGATATCTGACCTGTCTGGTAAGTCTTGTTGGCATCTGGTTTGTCTGGTAAGTCTTGTTGGCATCTGGCCTGTCTGGTAAGTCTTGTAGATATCTGGGCTGTCTTGTAAGTCTTATAGACATCTGACCTGTCTGGTAAGTCTGTAGACATCTTACCTGCCTATCATCTACCTGTCATCTAACCTGTCTAGTTAATGATTTTGCATACAAGTTTAAGTCAGAAGAAAAATCACACTTGCTCATAAAGAAAGTCTGAAATATTTAGGTGGGTCTAAATGGGAACAGGTTACACTTTGATCAAGTATACATTCCATGGTTGTCAAGAGATGTTGGAATTTCGCATCTACTTCAGCTTTTGAAACTTTTACTTAAATCCAATCATACTTCTTGACTGTAAAAAAGCAGTATATGCATGGCTATTCTTTTTAAAAGAATTTAAGGCAACCCCCCTCCCCCCATGCAAAAGGATGATCAGTTTAAAGTTTAAAAAAACTATATTCCCATGGTAACAACTTGTTTACCATTTTAGGAATCTGTTAAGGGAAGATGGGCATAGTTTCTAGTCTGTGTTTGGTTGGGAGAAATATTTCTTTAGTATTTATATGAATATGAAGGACAAAGTTTTGACAAATTTTCGTTTTGTAATTTATTTTCCTCTTGTTGAAAGTAACAAGGAAACATTGCGATAATGTTATCATCAGTTACCCAAGGATGCTTGTTAAAATGTACACAAATTTCCCTCATTTAATTTTTATCGATATACTCCATTAAATTAAATTGCAATATTTAACCAGGTTTTCCGAAGGAAAAAACTGGTTATTAGATTGAGGTATGTCGGCGGGCGGCGGACGGGCGGGCGTAAACAATTTCTTCTGTGCGCAACTCCTCCTACATTTCTCAACGGATTTTGACCAAACTTTCACAGAAGCTTTGTCATCAAGTGCCCTGGCGCATATTGTCGGGGTTTTGCGATTAGATAATATTTGACCTAATTATGGCCCTTTGTTTTTTTTTTCCTTATATAAAATATATAGTGAACAATTTATTCTGTGCGCAACTCCTACATTTCTCAACGGATTTTGACCAAACTTTCTCAGAAGCTTTGTCATCAAGTGCCCTGACACATATTGCCAGGGTTTTGCAATTGGTATATATTTGACCTAATTATGGCCCTTTGTTTTTTTTCCTTATATAGAATATATAGTGAACAATTTCTTCTGTGCGCAACTCCTCCTACATTTCTCAACGGATTTTGACCAAACTTTCTTAGAAGCTTTGTTATCAAGTGCCTGGCACATATTGTCGGGGTTTTGTGATTGGATAATATTTGACCGAATTATGGCCCTTTGTATATTTTTTCCTTATACAGAATATATAGAGAACAATTTCTTCTGTGCTCAACTCCTCCTACATTTCTCAACGGATTTTGACCAAACTTTCTTAGAAGCTTTGTTTTCAAGTGCCTGGCACATATTGTCGGGGTTTTGTGATTGGATAATATTTGACCGAATTATGGCCCTTTGTATATTTTTTCCTTATACAGAATATATAGTGAACAATTTCTACAGTGCGCAACTTCTCCTACATTTCTCAATGGATTTTGACCAAACTTTCACAGAAGCTTTGTCATCAAGTGCCCTGGCGCTCACTAAATTCCCATGTTTCTTCCAAGACATCATTCAAGTATTTTTTTAAAATTGTGAACATACTTTTCTTGATATCGCACAAAACACCACACGCCAATATTGTTGACAAAAGAAAATGACAAGAGACGCAAAAATGCAAAAATTAAGCAAAAATAAAGTACTGTTTACCTTTTTAAAACATTTGGGAAAAAAAGGCGAATAGACAACATAAAATTTCTCAATCATTTTTGTTTGAGGAATATTAAAAAAGCCATAATTCCTCCTAAAAGTTCAATTAAAAACAAATGCCCCTTCATGACAAAGCTTCTGTGAAATATTTTGCTGAAAACCTGGTTGCATCGCATTGCGATGTTCCTTGTTGTAAAATTAAATTGCAGTATTCAGAATTAGCCTTAGCTAATGTTATCTTAGGGAAATTTAAACATTGAGTAATGAATATATGAAAATAAATGTTGATTAAATTCAGGGGTTGTTTTTAATACGGGGTCGGGTGGGGGGTAAGTAAGCTAAGTAAGTAGCTTTTACTTAGTTTGGGTGTTTGAGAGTTATTGTCCACAAGTTATTTTACAAAAAAAGGATACAAAAGTTTATTTACATAATATAGACAATTAAAAAAAAAATTTTATCTTTTAAATCTTTACTTTTAATGGTGTTTTCCTAATACATGTAGAGAAGATTCACTGAAAAGATAGTTAAATGATAATCATCCTAGGGCAAGATATTGTTCTATGTGTTGATGATTTGATGATTTGATTTTAAATGATAATAACAATAGAAAAATAACACACACAAACAAGTATTTCATAGGTAATTCAAAACTTTACCTCAGACTGGTAAATACGGTAGTTGGTCACTTGTGGAGAAATTGCTGATTTATAATACTGGTTAGCTATCCAGAAAAGCATGTCAGGTAGATCAGCAATAGTGATATAACAAAAAACATTCATTAAAAATTGGGGAGGGGGGGGGGCATAAAAACCAGAACAGCAACAAGAAGAATTTTTAGAATGGGCTTATCTTGTTATAAACTTGGAACAGTTCATTACATAACAGTTCATTACATAACAGTTCATTACATAACATTTCATTACATATTTAAAGGATTTTGGTGTCTTAATATTAGAATCATTAAATGAAAATTGAGTAGTGGGCAGTATAAGGATTGGTCAGTTTGCATGGTCATTGAATTCTTGTAACTATCACCTCTGCTCAAAGGCTATGATAATTAAGCCCAGAACAATTTTGTTTTTTGTTTCCCTACCTACTGCCAACCATATGACTGTTTACTTGCCCTTCTTCTCCTTTTAGATACATAACTACATATTATGGGGAAAAAAAAGATAATTTTAAAAAGATGTGAAATTCCTTCCTACGTATTCTTTCAGGGTTGGGTAGGATACAAAAATAAAAGAACTGAATTCCTTTTTGGTCTAACAAAATTTCATATCTATAGAATGTGCATTGTGAAAGAAACGGAATTTCTTTGTTCCTGTATTATATAAGTTGGTTATTTTTAGTTTTGCAAGTATTTATTACACTTTGGCATTTAATAAAACAACCTTTTTTATGAAAATGATTTTTTTTACCCTAATGTACGCGCACACATTAATTAGCTGATTGTACAATGAATTTAATCTATTTGCTTATGACCATCCAATTAGAAAATTATGAATATTGATACTTTAATTTAAATATCTTATTCATAGATCATTACGTTAAACTTCCCTGTTATATGTTTTGTTGTCACTGATATTATACACAATAGAAATTTATATGCACAATAGAAATTTGAACTTGATATTGAATGTTGCAATATTTACAGCAGATTTATACAAAAACTTTTTCATTTGTTTTATTTTTGCGTATGAAAAGTTGAAAACAAGTTAAGCTCTATCTTATAACAACTGGCCAAAATTTTTTTTTTTATTGAAAGCTTTACATATGGGGTATGTATTTGCTAACTAGTATAAAATCTTAATGTCACACACACGTAATAAAGATTGATTTTATCTCGATGTGGCGAGTGTACTGTGGCCTTTATTTTTGTTGTTACTTTCGTAATGATCAATAGGGAGTGATATGGAAAAACATGCGGATAAAAATAGTCAGCTATGTCACCACATTGCAGCAAATGCCTTATTTGTTAAAAAAAAAAAAAATCTAGGGGAAAAAATGATTAGTTGTAATTGACTTGTATGGATTGAAAGTTTATATTTATAAACAACTACACGTTACATGGCTTAAATATAGACAAGTGATATATATATATATTTTAAAACAGAAAAGGAAGGAAATATATTAAAGTTGTACTGTTACACAAGTAGAAAATGAAATCTTTATACGGATTATAATAAAGTCATTCACATGAATAAAAGGAATTTTTTTCAAAGTTTTTAATTAATTTGTTACACTGATCAGAAGGAAACGATTGTTGAAGGATTATTTTTAAAAAAGAATTGGGGACTTAGATTATAAGGAGACCTATGTCCGTATAAATATATACCAGAAGTCATTGTTATAATAGAGAACGGAAGTGTTCACGTATTCAAAGTGGAGTCGAACTACGAAACACTGCGGTTAAACACTCAATTAGAGACGGCAGCCTTACACGGAAGACGGTTCTTCCAGCCCGCCAGCTGCCATGATAATAGTTCAAAAGGCTCGCAGGTGACGCCCGTCATAGACTATTTTGATTATGTTAATCCGTCTGATGCCGACGAGAGTGAAAGAGTAGATACAGGGGACGATGATTTGGAAGTGGAGAACAACGCTTCCGAGAGCGAAGGCTTTCATTCAGACTCTAAATTGGACTTTGAGAAAAAATCTCAACTCAAGTCTGATCTAAAAAGCAATGGATTAGATAATGATAGAACTAGTATAAATTCAGAGAAAGAATTTGATGCAGACTTTATTGAAGAAAAGAAAAAATATGATAAAATATCTGCTGAAATAAATGATACTATAACAGTTGAGGTTAATTCTACTGCTGAAGAGGTACCTATATGTGGGGATGATAAAACACTTAGAATTGATGATGTAAATGATATCTGTACTAATAATAATGGCCTAAAAGTAAAGAAATTACGTAAGATTGAGCATAAAAGAAGAAATAAGGTACTAAAAAGAGACGTAAAACCGATCGATGATCAAGATAATGATGTAATAGAAAATAAAGCCGAGAATAGCAATAAGGAACTAATTACTGGACAAAATGAACAATATGTTACAAATGATGTAGAATCTACGCTGGCAGTTGAAATAAAAGAGTTTGAGCCGCTTAGTACTGCTGATAATGAGGTTGAACAAGAACTTGAAGAAGAGAAAGAGTGTGTGGAGAGTGTTATTTCCGGTTTACGTACCGAATTGACCTGTAAGCCGGAATACCGAACGGCTCTTCAAGTGGACACTAGTTATCAAGCCGGTGTTAGTAGCGATTCAAATTGTAGCCAATACAGCGCAAGTTCTTGGAATAGCGAGCATGATACTAGTAGCAGTCTCGATCCAAGTCCAAATTTATGGCATTCGTATATTGACTCTGGTATAAGTCTCGGTACTAGTACAGGGGGTATCTATAGTGATACTAGTGATGTTAGCGGGGAGGACTGTAGTTTCTATGACAACCCTAATAACCAAAGATTTCAAACTGACTTCCAGCAAACAACAGATGGCAAATACGTTCAAATTCGGACATTCTTTCCAAGACACAAACTGTTTTATAGTAACAGTAACTGTTTTTCAAATGGTGCAATAAAAAATAATGGTGCATTTCCAAATGTAAATATATATTCGGAGAGTGACGGTGTTGGTGATTATGATGGGTATGGTGGTAACTATAGCGACCCCGTTGTAGGGGCAGAAACTAATGAAATAAGCTGTGATTACTGCCAATTTTGTGCGTGCTCGGAGTACGAGGGTTGTTCCCTAGAACAGATGCTTCCTGGGGATATTTTCTATTATTCTTCCAACTCATTGGTTCTGTGCGTTAAACAGAACAGGCATTGTGAACAAGTGGACTTTCGTCCGAAACAGGTGAGACATTTGACTGTTTATACAAATGTATGTGTTGTGTACATGTATAAATATGTTAATTTGAAAAATCTTTCTCGATGCTTGTTTTCAGTCATATGCATCTTAAAGGAAGATATTAAAACACTGTCCTGGTAGAAATTTTACAATGGAAAATCAAGCACTGTAAAAGTTATGTTTCTATTTGGATTTTTTCATTTAATTTTATTGTTGTTTCCTGGTTTTCGGGCGGAGTGTTTTTGGTTTAGGTCTTTTTGCTTTTTGCGATCGCTTGCCTCTTCAACCATCAGTTTATAATATGGATCTAAGGTTAGAGCGGCACCAGCATCTGCGAATTCTTTCATGTGAAAAAGATATCCAGCTAGCTTATGGATCGTTGTTGGTTCTACGCAGGTGCCTGTTTGTGCCTGAAATAATGCTCAAAGGGGCACCTGAGGTCTCCCTTCACCAGTAAATCTTGAAAGTTGCAATAAATTATGACATATAATGTGTTGGTGCAAGGTAAAACCCAACAAAAAAAAAATAATGAAAAAATTCTTCAATAACATCTTAAGGTACAATTCAGAGAAGAATAAAGAGTCTCTGAGCTTTCAAGAGTTCATTGTAATTGAAATATACCTGAATTTATATTGAAATATACCTGAATTCATATTGAAATAAGTAAGACACAAAGAAAAGAAAAACGCAAAAATTGAAATTAAATTCTCCGATTTCAGCATTTTTGTGCCAGACAGGATCTAATTAGTTTCTTTAATTTTGCTGGTGAACACTAATTCTAAATATTATGAATCTACTGTCGTTTGTCAGACAATTTTGTATGGAATAATTTCTCCCTGTAGACAACAATTATGATGACTCTAGACTTTCTTAATATGTGTATAATACATGAGATAAAATAGATACAATATGCTTTAAATTTTCTCTTTATTTTCAAAATCTCAGTTTCAAAGATAGTTTTTATGGATGTTTTTTTTGTGTGCATATTTATTAATTTGACATCCATTTTATGTTTGAAATTTCTACATTATATTACAGTTTAGCATGATTGTCAGATTACTGATAAATTAGTATTTTTGTCAGATTTCACATTGGTGGGGTCAAGGTTGCGGACTACAAACCACTTGCGTGACACAGCTGTGGCTTCAAATTCCCTGACAGACTTCTATGGTGCCCAATTGTGCCTGAAATAATGCAAAAAAGGGCATCTTAATTATGTATTCCTCCCAGTAAAAATGGAAAGTTGTCATATGATCTTTACAGTGTCTGTGTGACATTTAACACTGCAGAACAAACCAAAGTCAGATTTCCAGCTTTTCTGTTATTGTCAGCATATCCACCTGTTTAGCTCAAAAGGGAGAGCATCAGATTCCAGTAATCCAGGACTTGGTTTCCAGATGAGGCGTAATATTTTCATGACAGTTAATCCTGGGCATTGAGTTTAATGGTCATTTGTCTCTTACACTGATTCAGAAATCATGTGGGATAAGTAGTCGGGCATTTGGTTAGTTATCCAGGGAAGCAGGTAAGGTGGTTCATCCACCGAGACGTGTGAAAATTGGCATAAAAACTTGAAAAACAAACAAACATATTCAGGCTTTTCCAGTGTTGCCATGTTGTGCCTGACCCATACCCGATGGCAAATATTCTTATTTTTTTCCGAGTTTTTAAAGAATTCACAGAAACTCAAACTGAAGAAGTTGCAGAAATTTGTTCCAATATTGTAACCAAAAGACAACCCATATTGGCATTTAGTATTTGTATTTGATTTTCCTCAGATTTTATCATCAAATTTTATTGTAATTTTATTGCTTTGGTTATTATTGATGGGCCCTAAGGTAGCCCTTAAATGGTGAAATGAAGAGCTTGCCTTGCCAGTTGTTCTTGTTGTTTTTGTTCGATTTTTTTTTTTACCTCAATATTTATATTTATCATGTAAGTATAGTATAAGCAGCGTGTTTATTTGATCTGGTGAGCTAATTAATTTCATATTGTATGGCTAGTATCTAGGATAATCAGATTTAAGAATTGTAAAGCTTCGGTGTGATGGAGATCAATAACTACTGTATCCCTGTAGAAGGACATTGAGGGGGCGGACGTAACTGCGTTATTGATTGAGTGGGGAAAAACGAGAAAAGTTTAAGGTATCTTGAAAAATAGCTTGCCTGAGTTTTGTCATTTGTCAAGAAATAATTAGCATCCCACAGATAATGTTCCAGAAAATTCATTGTCGAACAGGTCATTTTTTATTACTTTTAAGGTATATAAAGGCCATACTGTTCTAGATTTGACTTGTTTATTTCGTTTTTATATGTTTTTGGATGTTATGACTTTGATGGTTTGTTACGTCCCTTCTAATGATGTTTCTTAAATGAAAAATTGAAGTATCTGAAAGATATGAGGTTTTTAATACAATTTGAACAAGAAATGTCAAGACATAAATTACAATTCTGCTTTTCTTTGATGCATATTTTAAATGTTCTTGTTGTTAATATTTGTTCATCTTTTCTGTCGGTCTTGTTAATCTTGCTGTCAATATTTGGTCCTCTTTCTGTCCGTCTTTGAAATCTTGCTGTCAATATTCAGTTCTGTTTATGTCAGGCTTCGAAATTTTGCTGTCCAATATTTTGTTCTCTTTGTATCAGTCATTGAAATCTTGCTGTCAATATTTGGTCCTCTTTCTGTCAGTCTTGGAAATCTTGCTGTCAATATTTGGTCCCCTTTCTGTCAATCTTGGGAATCTTGCTGTCAATATTTGGTTCTCTTTCTGTCTGTCTTGGAAATCTTGCTGTCAATATTTGGTCCTCTTTCTGTCAATCTTTGAAATCTTGCTGTCAATATCTGGTCCTCTTTCTGTCAGTCTTCGGAAATCTTGCTGTCAATATTTGGTCCTCTTTGTGTCAGTCTTCGAAATCTTGCTGTCAATATTTGGTCCTCTTTCTGTCAGTCTTGGAAATTTTGCTGTCAATATTGGTCCTCTTTGTGTCAGTTTTGGAAAATTTACTCTCAATATTTGGTCCTCTTTGTGTCAGTCTTGGAAATCTTGCTGTCAATATTAAGTACTCTCTCTCTCTTCAGTCTTGGAAATCTTGCTGTCAATATTTGGTCCTCTTTAAGTAAGTCTCGGAAATCTTGCTGTCAATATTTGGTCCTCTTTCTGTCAGTCTTTGAAATCTTGCTGTCAATATTTGGTCCTCTTTGTGTCAGTTTTGGAAATCTTGCTGTCAATATTAAGTACTCTCTGTCAGTCTTGGAAATCTTACTGTCAATATTTGGTCCTCTTTATGTAAGTCTCGGAAATCATGCTGTCAATATTTGGTCCTCTTTGTGTCAGTCTTTGAAATCTTGCTGTCAATATTTGGTCCTCTTTATGTCAGGTTTGGAAATCTTGCTGTCAATATTAAGTACTCTCTCTGTGTCAGTCTTGGAAATCTTGCTGTCAATATTTGGTCCTCTTTGTGTAAGTCTCGGAAATCATGCTGTCAATATTTGGTCCTCTTTGTGTCAGTCTTTGAAATCTTGCTGTCAATATTTGGTCCTCTTTGTGTCAGTTTTGGAAATCTTGCTGTCAATATTAAGTACTCTCTCTGTGTCAGTCTTGGAAATCTTGCTGTCAATATTTGGTCCTCTTTATGTAAGTCTCAGAAATCTTGCTGTCAATATTAAGTACTCTCTCTCTGTCAGTCTTGGAAATCTTGCTGTTAATATTTGGTCCTCTTTATGTAAGTCTTGGAAATCTTGCTGTCAATATTTGGTCCTCTTTATGTAAGTCTTGGAAATCTTGCTGTCAATATTAAGTATTCTCTCTGTCAGTCTTAGGAAATCTTGCTGTCAATATTTAGTATTCTCTGTGTCAGTCTTAGAAAATCTTACTGTCAATATTTAGTATTCTCTCTGTCAGTCTTAGGAAATCTTACTGTCAATATTTAGTATTCTCTCTGTCAGTCTTAGAAAATCTTGCTGTCAATATTAAGTACTCTCTCTGTCAGTCTTAGAAAATCTTACTGTCAATATTTAGTATTCTCTCTGTCAGTCTTAGGAAATCTTGCTGTCACTATTTAGTATTCTCTCTGTCAGTCTTAGGAAATCTTGCTGTCAATATTTAGTATTCTCTCTGTCAGGCTTAGGAAATCTTGCTGTCACTATTTAGTTCTCTCTCTGTCAGTTATAGGAAATCTTGCTGTCAATATTAAGTACTCTTTCTGTTAGTCTTGGAAATCTTACTTTCATTATTTGTTTCTTGTTCTTGGAAATCTTGCTGCAATATTAGTGTTGAATTTTTTGATGGCATATTAATTGCTCTTCTCCACCTCCCCTGCTTGCTGATGATATTTAGTTGTCTCTTGATATCTGAGTGTTGCTCGCTCTTGTTGTCCATATTTGGTTTCCTGATACCAGTGTTGAACCTTTTACTGATAATATTTAGTTTCATGGATATCTGGTTGGACCTCTTGCTGTCAATGTTTAGTTGTTGGATCTCTTACTGTCAAATTAATATTGGCTTTAGTTTTGATATTTGTCCTGTCACTTTGTTTTGCTATATACCTGGGTTGCTGTTCATTGCAACTTGAAAAGTTGTTGTTCTCTAAGTTTACTTTATTTAAGATCTGTATTCAAGGACACCATTGTTCCATCACCTTCGTTCATTCATAAAAAGGAAAAAAACATGATTGCTTAACTTACTGATTAACTTCTAGGAGAAGGATGGAAAAAAAACGAAATCATTCAAAATAAGGATGAAAAAAAAAATCGTTCAAAATAAATGATATGCCTCCGTTGTTGCACTGACATTGCATGCTTCATTATTTTATAGCCCTGTGAGGAAATCGGTGTACTTTAACCATGTTCCATTGATAAAATCTTGCTGAAAATGACGACTCTGACTAATTTCCAGCTATTCTTGGAGACTGCATATTTGATAGGTTTACTGGATTCTGATGTGTTTGGGATGGGCCGTATTGGTCTTGATATTGGTTGCATTATATAATTTTCCTGTTCGATTGGATATGGGGTTTTTGTTTTATTTTGCATAAATGGATTTTAGTTTAAGGAAATGTACTGGGGCAGAGATTTCTGAACTTGGATTTTCATTGTGACTCAGATAAATTACGTATTGAACAATTTGCTGATCTGCAAAGCGGGCATTGTTTTGCTGGGATATCTGTTGTTTCATTTTGATATCTTGACAACACCAAAAAACAAAAACTGTTTGTTGATTTCAGGACCTGTAAACAAAACTAATAGCTTGCTAACATTTATTGTGATGATTTTTTTCTGTGATAAGCTAATAATGTAGGTCTATATCAGATGAAAATTATTAGTTCCCATTTCATCATTCATGTAGACTTAATAGTATAATCTTCTTGTTTTAGAAATGTGAAAGGAGTTAAACTGAGGTCCAAAAATTAAAAAACATAAGATATGAAATTCCCTTGAAAATTAAAAAAAAAAAAATCACCAAAAACATGACGTCCTGCAATTGATGCGGTGATTGGATGTAGACGAATGTTGCACTAGGAATTTAAAAATGCACTTGGATTTGCATCACTGATAGTTGTATAAATAACACTTTTCTTTTGTGATATTTTAACTTCCATGTATTAAAAAGGCTTGCTCAAAATATAAATTATAACAAGCCTTTACGACATCTTAGATTTTGGACTTAACTGACAATTAAGTAACAAAATAATCAGTGCCATTATAGTGAGTATATTCCATTCACTTTTCATTGTCAAATCATCTGGGAGTTAACACTATAATTGAACTTTTTGATTTAAGGCAACAGTACAAAAAACAAAACAAAAAAAACTTCAAAGGTCGAGGATGAGATGACCACTTCAAAAAAGGCAAACAATTATTTCGAAAGTACCCATTCATTCAATGATTGCAATATTTATTGCAATATATTGCAATACGCCTTTTACCGTAGTGTTACAACTCTACATATATATTATAAAACTGTTTTAAGGTGACCAAATTTTGTTATTAATTATAGTGAATTATTTATGGAGGAAACAGGTGCTTGAAGTAATTAAGTTTTTCAAGGTCAGTTTTAAATGTCTTTGCTATATCCCCCTTATTTAAAAGTGCTTAAGTCATGAGTTTTCTACTATCATTATATCTCATGACCCAGATCATGCTCAATTTGAGAAATAGATTGACCCTGCATTAAATATGGAACATTTCAGGCTTTATACTGGTTAGTCACTTTTTGGCCAGATTCATTCTGTACTCTATACTTGTGGCAAAGGGTTAGTCACTTTTTAGTCCCAGTGTGTTGATCTGTGGGTGCTCTGTACTTATTGCAAAGGGTTAGTCACTTTTTAGTTGCGGCAGGTTCATCTGTGGAAAACGTTTAGTCACTTTTTGGTCCCTTCAGGTTCATCTGTGCTCCGTACTTGTGGCAAAGGGTAAGTCACATTTTAGTCCCAGCAGATTCATCTGTGCTCCGTACTTGTGGCAAAGGGTTAGTCAGTTTTTGGTCTCGGCAGGTTCATCTGTGCTCTATACTTGTGGCTAAGAGTAAGTTACATTTTGGTCTCGGCAGGTTCATCTGTGCTCCATACTTGTGGCAAAGGGTTATTTACTTTTTGGCCCCGGCAGGTTCATCTGTGCTCTATACTTGTGGCAAAGGGTTAGTCACATTTTGGTCCCGGCAGGTTCATCTGTGCTTCGTACTTGTTGCAAAGAGTTAATCCCTTTTGGTTCCAAAAGGTTCATCTGTGCAGACTAGCCTAGCTCTTATACAAGTGGCAAAGTTTTTAAATGGAGTTGAAAAAATGGGGGGAAAAAGAAAAACAAAAAACACACTCAAAACAAATCACACTGAATTGATAAGCTGGCTTTATAGTTACAGTAAGTGATGCCTTTGTTACTATGATACATTTAGTTTTGTTTGAATCTGTATTGTTCAGTCTCTGCTGTGATCAACAGTGTCTGAAATGTGACACACCTTATGAAATAATAATGGAATCGATTATAAATTATTGAATTGTTTTTATTGGTCCCATAATGCATCGAGGAGAATGAGTCAGTGAAGATTAATGATAAAAGTTGACAGAAATCAGTGTCTGAAATCAGTTGTGGTTTTTACCGTCATTATTGGCCTCTTCTCTGCTACAGGCTCTACCCATGCCACCAGTGCAGACCAATCGTGACATCTGATCATGGTCTGCACTGTTTGCCATTTAGCCAGTACACTGTACTTATTTTGAAATTTCTCCCTTTCAAAAAGATTAACAGACAAGCCACACAAACACGATCATTCAGTAATTATTTATTGCATACGTTTCTGCTATAATTATGCCTTCATCAGTGCAAAACATAAAAATAAAATTACCGGATGCAACGTCATAACATAACACGCGCAGAACACAATATGGCGTTCAGCGGCAAAAATATGATAACATGTAGAAACAAATATTTATATCATTGAGTTTTCTCTTAGTATATCTCAGATATTTGGAATGTAAGTACCTTTGGTTGAATCTGTAGCCCTTGGGGTGTGGTGTGAATCCCATGGGGGCCAATGTCCATGAAGTACAAAATCAATTTTTGCAACTTTTCTTATAGAGTTGTCTTGTCAGTTGACAATTTTATATACAAAGTTGGATACTTTGTTGTTTGTTTTCAATCATGTTGATACAGAGAAAAATGGTGTAGTTTGAAAATAAAATGGGGCTTCAAGTCTAACATTTTTAGTACAGTTTGTTCAGGTTTCTATACAGAGTTTAAAATAAGTTTTTATTACAGTGCTTAATATATTTTTAAGAAAAAGAGATATTTCTATACATTGCAGGTCACACCCAAGTCTGCTGCTTTGAATCCTAATGCATCTGTGTTCCTAAGTGTCAAGACATCTACCCCTGGTGCTCAACCATCTTATACAGGACAGTACGATCATAACGACAGTGGCATAGGAAATACAACCAACAGTAGTAAGTTCAGTTTTCTTATATTTTATCCTTATTATTATACAGCTGAACAGATGACCGGAACTCGGTAAATGCTGGCGGCAAACTGGTGGCAAAGTGTAAATCACATGGTTCCAACAGGGTTAAAAAAAGGGAGGAGGGGGTGGAGGGGAGACGCATTTTCATTTGATATGGATTTAAAAAAGAAAAAGAAAAATGATTTGAATGCTAGTATACCAGTCTATGCCCCAAGCAGATGCCTGTTTGTTGATTTTATCATTTAGATATTTAATTATCTTTATAAGGTCACCTTAAAGAATTATGACTGAAGTTAATAAATTGGGAAAAAAGACATACAAATTGGAATATTGAAATCTGTCTTTACATAATTGATATAAAGAGAAAAATCTGTGGAAAGTAAAAAAAAAAGAAACAATTAAAAAAAATGAAAAATTATATAAATTTAAGTTATGTAATGTAAAAAAAGGGATTGTTTTAGGTATTATTAAACTAAAAATTCAATAACTTTATGACCTTTTATAATGCTTAAATTGAAGGGCAGTTCCCTCCAATATTCCCACCCACACTTCTTTTTATACTTTATGTCTGAAATCAAAGATACAATCAAAAATCTGTGTATAATCCCCATAAAATGAAGACATTATGCTTGCTATTTTTCCGTTACAGGCAGAGTCCTATAGGAAAAACAATTTCCGAGTGACCTTTACTATTTGCCAGTCTAATACACTAGAGCCATTATATTGAATTGTAGAGGTCATAGCCTTAAAAGGAGTGACATTTTACTCAAAATTATGCACAAATTTTGCTCAGAATTATGGGGACTGTAATTTTGCTAGAATTATTTGAGAGAAAAAAATGTAAACCTTGAAATTCTAGTGAATTTTTTTTTTACGATGGTAATACTTGTCGGATTTTTCCTCGTTTAAAATGTCCTTTATGAGGTTTTAACCGAGAAACACAAAAAGCTGATACATTATGTTTCAATATTCATTGTCTAGAAATTAAATACAAAATCTCAGTGCTTGTGAAGCAAGACAAAAACAGACTAAAATTTTGAATGCATCCTTTTATTTTAAGATGGTTGAAAAAAATATAAAAAAATCAGAATTTCGAGAATTCCTTAAAATTCCATTTTAAATTTATTTTGTCTGAACAGGCTCTATACTGTTAGCTGACCAACTTAAAATTTTCATCTTGATTTCCACAAAGTTTATTACTGACAGTTTCAAAACAGAAAGGAAATTTGAGTCCATTTAAAAAAATTCATCATGTAATTCTTAGTAAAAGATTTTACAGTGTTGCTGTTTATACATTTGGCCAAAAAAAAAATTATATCAAATATAGCAATTAGTGCCAAAACCTCCCCTTCCCCATCCCCACTCTGACTCCCCCAAATATTTTTAGGGTTTAATGGTCCATTTGTTTAAATAGATTGCATAGGTTTGAATCCCACCTGGCACGTTGTACAGGAGAAAGTTGTCTTGGTATAGGAAGTCAGTGGCTCTAACTCTGGTGTCTCGTAAATAATATCTGGGGGTCTTTCAAAGCCAATCAAAGGTTGAACAATCACATAGTGACCATTACTGGTTTTTTTTTTGGGGGGGGGGGAGTGTAGAATTTCCATCCCCCATTAAAAAACATTTCTGGTGCTATTCAATAACCAGTCTGAAGTTTTTATGAGGTCATAGTTCCATGACATTTGCATCAATTTCATGTCAGGGGAATGTAAATTTACACGGTAATGATTTTTATTTAAAAATAAATCAGAATGAAAATCATACTGTATAATAGGGATGGGTTTGAAATAATAAATCTCTGTGAAACTGGAAAAAAATCCAGCATTTTCAGGAAACTGTATTGTATTTTTCAATCCATACAAAAGTCTATATTTAGAGTAATAAGACAATTTCATATACTTTTTTGTTCTAACGGCAGACTAAATATGGACCGAAAGATGTAATTGGATATCATGAATTGATTATTGCGGCAATAATGAAATTGGCCAATTTTTACTCGATGTATTCTTGTTATTGATTTTGTGGTGTTGTCATAAAGTGACAATTAGAGAGGTTAGTAAAGTGAATATTATCTGAACATTATCCCAGTTGTTATTGTTTCGGTTTTGTGAATTAACTGTTTATAAACAGAAAGGTTGGGGGAGTCAGGGGGCGGGGGGATGTTAACAGGAAGTGGGTAAATAGTCTGCCTACTTCAGAAAACATCATTACATGTTGAAAGATAAAAAAAATAAGTGATTGTCAATTCAAAAGAAAAAAAAATGCTCAGTTGCATGTCGCCATATGGTTGTATTTTAACAGAAAGAAAGACATTTGATAAATAAAATTCGTAAAACATTACTAAAGAAATATTTGATTTATATTGTAGCATATGTTTTAATTTTGAACAGTCCATTTGTTTAGGTATGAATTTTAATCTACCGTATGAAAATCAGTCTAATTTAACTGTTCAATATTAAGATAATTTTAATTATTATGACAGACCCAAATTCAAACAAGTCTTTTCACATTTATTTAAGTTAGAAAATTTTAGATATTTGTAATAACCATTTTAGTGTAGTGACAATAGTATGTTTATTTTTGAGAAAATAAATAAAACTTTCATATGGATAATAGTTCCAATTTCAAATTGAGGCAAGACCAAGTCCCATGTATATCTTGTAAAAGATTTTTTAATTAATAAATGGTGTACTGATAGTTGAAACCAAGTTAAATTTCATTCCTTGACCAACAGTGTTTACAGGTTTTGTAATGTTGAAAAAATAAACACAAAGTTTAAGATTGGGGAATGCTCTCGGAAATTTATCTATCTTAAAAAAAACCTTTTGACCCCATATTTGTTTTTTGAAACCCTCATTATCAACAGAAATCCGTTGAAAAAAATGAAAAAATTTCAATATTTCCTTTAAGCACTAAAATTTTCTGATATTGACATGTTTGAACTGCTCATTATCAATTTTTGGGATATTCATTACAAAAAAAAACTTGAAGTTGGTCAGCCAACAGTATAGAGGCTGGTCAGACTTGATGATCAAAGGCTAATCACTTTTGGTTACATCATGTTTAGGCAGAAATAAAATAAATTTATCCTTCTAACATTTAAATAATGGTTTTAGAGCATGTTAGATACTTATCACCCAAAGAAAATAGTGCTGAATTTGAAATAAAATAGCAAAAATTAAACATTAAGTAGCATTTTAACTTCCATATAAAATACTAAATCATTATAATTGTACTTATTAATGCCAAAAAAAGCAACAGAAGCATAATATAAATCTGGTAATTTACTAATTAGTAACTTTTTGAAGACTATAACATTACACTAAAAATACGATTTTTTTGAGAAATGGAAATAAAAGCATTACTGAGACTTGTTAAATATTTAAAATAATGGAATTCATAGATAATAGAAACATTCTTTATTGTCAAGAGGATGACTTGTGAGAAGTGATTCGGTGTATTGCATCTTTCGTGAGAAAGAGACTGCAAATAGTAGTTGGTAAAAATAAACTGTGTAGGTGCTAGGCCTCTGTATGGTGTACTGTTGGGATCAAAATTACGAAAAAAAAGTATCTGTTTATTGAATTGTTCATCCTGTATTGTAGATATATTTGTACTAGAAGTACTACTAAATAGAACAATTGAAGAAGAGTATAGAACATTTTATGGCATTAGTAAATTTATATATGAAAATTTAAAATACCATTTTAACTGTTGAATGAGAAAACTATACTAAACTTAAAGAAATGGGGCAAAAATTAAATTTCAAGGAAAAATTACATTTAAAATGCGTTAATGAAAAGATTTTGCTATATTTATAACCCAAATTTTACTTTTGTAACTAGTCGGGCTTTTTTCGCATATTCTGTTTATTCGGAAATTTTTTCAAAAGATACTTAGTGCAGTTTGCAATGTGTAAATTACTTCCTTTGTTTAATTGACAATATTTTTACTTTTTAATGCATTTTAAAAATTTGTCATGAAAACTGGCATGAATCTGGAGGCATGCTGCTTTAAAATTACGTCCCACTTTGTACTCCATACTTACAAGGTTTTATCTGCACTTATCAAGGATACTGTGTGTGTGTATACATGATAAACTTGACTTGTTGATGCAATAAGATAGTACATGTGGCAAAAATGTTTTCAATTGGGGGAGTTGCTTTTTCGCTGATGGTTTGAGTAAAATAAGTTAAATGTATGACACAGCATTGTCATAGGTTTTAATAGAGTTCTATATTTAGTTTGCAATCTTGATTATCCATAGTGTAGTTTTTTTTAATGATCAGGAAATAAATTAAATCCATGAGTGAATGAGCTAATGCATTAGGGGATCTTTTTGGGGAAAAGTGTACTTCATAAATGCGGATTTTTCTGTGGTTTGGATATAATATGCATTACTGAATTTTATTGTAGATACTGCAGTTCATGTATGACAGTTACATGTAAATTTCTTAAATGATGACAAATTGGATATTGTTTTCCCCTTTACCACACTAAATATCTTAAATGGACTTGTCCATCTTTCAATCTGCCATTCTGGATAAGTCCATTTATCATTTCTAGGGAATATTTTAGAAGATAGCTTTTAGTGCAGACTGTGATCTGATTACACTGGCTTAGTTGATTGGTCATATTTTGTTTATGGTTTAGGTCATGTGATCAACACATGAACACTGTAAATGCATTGTATATTGAAGACGGGATTATTTTCTTAAATAAACAAAAGGTCAAGTTTTAAGTTAATTTTGATGACATGCTTTTGAATAGACTAACTCCGCAATTATGAATATTTGGGGTTTTTCCCTAAACTTAAATCCGTAGGTGCAAACACATTTATTACAGTTACAGCTTTGAAAATAAGCGCAAGAGGTTGGCTTATCTATTGTGACGGGTAGTGCACCGAGAAGCTTTAACGGTGAAAGTTGGTATGTGACTACAGAATAGCTGGGGAAAACCCACATTTGCCGAGTTCCGGATAACATCTATTGTAACGGTTCAATTTTTATTTATTTTCAGCTTCTGATTTCTCATATACCAACGGTGACATCAGTGTCGATAAATCCGACGCTGGGGTGTTCTCCCCGACGTCCGACTCTCCATTCCAGGCTGACTTACCAACATTCACCGACAATCATAATTTCAAGTGAGTAGTTGAAATAGTAGAGCTGTAGTTATTAGTTAAGCAATGTTAATGTTATAAGGACAGTTTGCTATCAGATTGATATATATACTTCATATACTTATATAATTCATACATTATTTTAGAGGTGTTCATGTTATGACATGAAATATTTCAGTGAAAGAAAGTCTCTTCTGAAGAGAAAAGCATCTGATAAAGAAATAAGTATCTTTAATTCATAAACAATGCCGTACAGGATTTTGTTTACCCATGGTAAAATGTTGTGACAAATAACCAGCATCGTCCCAGCATGTCTGAGTTAACAGTTAACTGCTCTAATCTCTGTATGACAGCTGGGCATTTTCACCATGTCACCAGGGGCCGAAATAAGGCCCCATTCCCAAATTCAAAATAGCCCTTTTCCCAATTTGTAAAGAAAAAATTCCCCAACAGCAGTCCTAAAATATGAAACTGAATTAAGTTCTGAGAAAAATTGAACTGTTTAAAGAAGTGAGAGGTTACATGAATATACACATGTTTAAAAAAACAAAACCTTTCAAGTGATGTAGTATGTAGTTTTTGCACTTTATAAAATTTCTTGAATTTCCCAAAATGTGGAATATTTTTTCCCAATTAATGTTAAGAGTCGTTTTTCCCAAAACAGCTAGAAAAGGCCCCGAAAAGAATCTGCAGATCTGTTGAGACTGTATATATCTGTGTTACTGAATAAACATGGTGTAACAGACGGGCAAAATATGCTTGTAAATATTGCAGATAATTATTGTAAAATGTATGGAAAACCTCAGATGACCCCGAACACAATGTTCGATATATCAGGTGACCACTTTCACAACACTTGATATCTCATGTAACTTCCTATATATAAGATACTTGATACCTCTGGTGACTGTTCATTCACATATAAGTTTTATATTTATTACTATCGTGGTATAAGGATCGTAATACCATCTTTTATCATCTATATTCTTCTACATGACGTCACTTATATCACACCTCATTGTCGATACTTGTTACTAGTGTGATGTAGTAGTCACAGACTGGTATTATTATGCAAACCAAACTAAATAACGCAACATGATTTCCGTAATATGATAGAGCTATGAGGCAGCAGTACGTAAATGTTACCGCACAAAAGAATGGTCAAGCTATTGAGGCCGCAAAACTGTACATAAACGTGTAACAGGAAGGAATGGTCATTATAATAGCTTGCAATATAATTGTCATCTCAATCTGAAAAGTGTAGGATTTTGTTTTTTTACTTCACCCAAGCACAAACTATGTGCTTAATTGATAACATACACATAATGATTCTGAAATATAGTATTCATGATCAAATATTTGATTGGAATAAATGAAGATAATATGATTCTATTTATATTTATTTTTCAAGCTCAAGTTCTATTTTCCCCCCTGTATTGTAGTTACTAGTAGACCCGACCTGAGATGGATGTATTTGTATGTATTATCTTATAAAGAATAATCAATTTATACACTATAATTAGTTCTCTTACTTTTAGTGAGAACAGCAGTGCCACAATGAAGTTGGAGGAGACGGTTGGGAACCTATTATTAGACAACACAGGAATGTACGGCGTGGATGCCGTGCCACCCGCAGCCAACTTCAGTGGAGTGGAGGCCGTCCCTATGACTGGTATACAGTATAGTACTGAAAATGGTAATGCAGGTAACTATTAAGATGAAAATTGGAACCAGTCAACATTCTGGGTTTTGGCTAATTTAATGGCTGCTAATACTGAACTGGAGTTTTACTGTTTGTGATTTAACTCCATAACTACACAGACTGGGCCTCCAGTGTATAATGCAGACTGGTCACTGTTCTACTCCATGGCAACCAAACTGTTCTCAAGTCTTTAATCGAGATAGGAATGTGTTGAAGTCCATGACTTCTCAGATTGGGCCGTCAGTCTATAATGCAAACTGGTCATTATTCAACTCTTTATACTAAGAATGGTTTTTGGTCAGATTTATGACCACTCAGACTGAGTATCCAGCCTTTATGATTCAGACTGGTACATAAAATTACAGAGTGTATATGCCTTTCTATTATACTGGTGAAAGATTTTATAACGGCAGTAAAGGCTGGCTAATCTGAAATATTTATTTTAATCTTAGAAATTTAACAACCTTTGGGTTATTAATGATGCTTTCTTTTATTTACATGATGTAACTTGATAGGGGTAAAGCATATGTGCATTTCCAGTGCTATTTGTTAACATAATATGTAAAGTGAGAAATAAGATGAATATCTCATAGCTGCAAGTGAGAATATGATTTATATTTCACAGATGGTGATACAGAGGGTAATGTTACAGATGATCAGCTGAGACATGTTCTCAAAAATCAGCTCGAGTCATACTGCTCAAGGTATTGTAGCTTTCTATAAGGTCTCCTGGGACCAGCCACACCCTGGTCCTGCCCCCCCCCCCCATTAAAACCTCCACCTCCTCAATGCTCCAACTAAATAGACTCACTAAATGACCAGTTGATCTAGATCAGCAGGGACATTGATTTGGTCCTTACTGTTTACTATTCAGTCAGTCCATACTTTGAAATTTTCCCTAAAAATGATGAAAAGATTTGTTCGGTTTAAAATATGGACAATTTCATGAATGTGTAAGGGTTAAAAAGTAAAAGCTGTTTTCTGAAAGTTTTTTTAATAACGAATGTGTTAAGCCTTCAAGCTCTATTCCAAATAAGTCAATTACATATATACTAAAAACAAATTTTATACTTCTCTGTGAAGAAATGTACTTTTCCTGACATTAACTTTTAATAAGTTATTTATTTTGACTACAAAGCATTCAGATAATAGCTAGCTTTTTATTTTTTATGCGATTTATTTTAGTAATAAATGAGAGTTAATTTGCAACCTAAGCACTAAATTAAGAGTGAGAAAAAAAATCAGTAAAGGAATACAGTGTTTTATAGAACATACAAAGGTGAAATTTAGAATTAATGTCTAGACGTAGAAATATCCTACACTTACTGCCGGGGATTCCCCGCGCAGACTTTATTACACGGTAATAGTTTCAAGAGTCTCCTGTCTTAAATGTCATTTGTGCCATATGTTTCACTTGTGCTATTTTTAGATTGACGAGTTTTGAGGACATTGGAAAATTCTCCGAAAATTGGCAAATTTTACCGTGTGCACTAATTTCTTTCCTGTATAATTATATTGCCTTTCTGCTGGGGTTAGAGAACTGAGGCTAGATTGTTGTAATGAGACCCGGTAACTCAACTTGAACAAGTAGGACCAAAATACAGACTTTCAAACCTTTCACTTGCAAGGAAACATTTCAAAACATTTTGTTTTTGTATTTTTTTTAAATGAGTCAAACACACATGCAAATTGAATTTACATTCTGTTAACATTTAAAAAAAAATTCCCACTCAAGGAAGTAGCTTCAAATATTACCATTTCATTTCATTTACCCTTTTTGTTATCAGGGTGAGGGGGATCTTAAGAAATAACACAAAAGGTTAGGATTGTAAGCTGGGAACCAGTCCTCTACTTTTTAGCCCCTGGTTCTTAGTTCATGTATAATATAAGATAAGATAGCCTCAATAATTGTTTTACATGGTAAAAGTATTAAAAAAGTATTATTGTAAATGTGCAAGCCTTATAACTAGATATGAAATAAAGACTCAATTGCTCCTGAGTAGATAATGGAATGAGATGTAAACAAAATTAGGAAAGGAATATTATAATATATGATGTCATTTAACTAAATGTTGTAATCTCCCTGAATGTTGTTCCTTATATTTTAATTAAGTCTATTTCAATGAATGTTTTACAATGCAGAAAGATGTGAATTATTTTGTCATGCATAATGACATATAATACGGCATGGCTTGCTCAGATGCTTTGTAATTTATCACAACTGTCAATAATACACTGTACTTCCAAATAGGAACCATGCATTTTTCTAAGGACAATGTTCTTAATAATAAAACCTATTACCTAAATCCGAGATGATATATTCCCAAACTGAAACTTAGACATTGTTTTCAAAGACATTGTTTTCAAAATAAATTTTCGATTTCCTAAATTCTAAATGATACATATATGATTATAAAAGTACTGAACTTCCAAATTTGAACTTCAATATTTTTCTTATGATTAATTTTCTATAGAGTTTGTCAGGTTATGAAATATATATATACTCGGATATCTTGATAGAAACGGGGGAAGAAATCCATAACTGTTAAATGGACGAGTCACATTTCAACCTTACAATTCTCCATTGATTGGACATGCCATTGATCAAAAGAAGCAAAATATCAACCTTGAAATGGCTCTGTTTTCTTGTGTCGTAGGTCGCTGCATCAAAAACATCATTGATTAAGAGACAATTTTATATTTCTCATCCAGTATGTTTGTTATAAAGTATACATTTTACCCTACATTGGTATTTCTTGATTTAAGATACTTTAATTGAGAGAGCTAAAATTAGTAAGAAAATTAGAAAACGATGAAAAGCTTTTATCTTATCCCTTATCATCACATAACATCTATATCTCAAAGAAATAAATATCATAATGGCATTATTGGTGTCTAGTTACCAGTGATTGTAGGTCTGTTATACTGATCAGTGTCGTTCTATACTAAAAATAGATAAATCGAGAATTGAAACCAGGCGAAACAAAAAAAAAGTCTTTTCAATGGCGTCGCCTAAAACCCTGTAATTATTGTTTTCTTGAAAGAATGCTAGCTTGTATATCTCTATTGATAATTATTGTGCGACATTACTTAAATATTATTTGCGGATTATTCGTCTTTTTTCTCTCCAGAAGCATGTTATAACCTGTATTTATACTTTGAATTTTTACTCTGCTGAAGCTGTTAGTGTAAAACCTGTGCTGCCCGTATCGAGCTGGATGTGCAGTTTCACCTGGCTCAGTATCGGTGGCTGCCTGGAAATTTTTACCTTGATATCCTCGAAATTGTTAATAGATTGTCTCAAAACCAGAAGCTGGTCAATTTGATTTGTTAAAAAATCAGCAGGTAAAAGGGTAATAAATCTTGTTACAATGGGAGAAAATGAAATAGAAAAATTATTTGGAGTGTCCTTTGGGATTGGGATAAATATCCCATGAGATTAGGATAAGTTTGATTTAATTTTTTTCCCCATTTCAATGATGGCTTTCCTCTATGTATCCAGAAGTTTGATAAAGTTTAATAATACACTCGGCCAAATAGTTTCTTATTAAAAGTCACAACGCAATAGGACAGCAAACTTAAGTAAAATGTTGTTACATGATACCTTTCATAATGCTTTACGTAAAATTATAAGTTGTCACAAAAACTTCTAGAAGTGACTGTAATGAAGTTATTAGATTTTGAATTGTGGGATGAATTCATTGATGAAAAATATCTTCGTACAGCCAAAAGTATATAGCTGCCAAAAAGCTGCCATAATTCTTGTATAGATTTCTTCCGATTTCATAAATAGATGTACAAATATGTTAAAATGCTCTAGAAATGATTTCCCTTGATTGATTGGGAGTTAAAAAAATATATTTTGCAATGTGTTACAAATTTTTGTTCCTTGATTTGCAAAATTAGAAATGGTTTAAGTAGTGATTACAAGTTTATAGCGGTATTTGTTGCATGTTAATACATTTTCTATTTCAGAGAAAATTTATCCAATGACTCTTACCTGCAATCTCAGATGGATGCCGACCAGTATGTTCCCGTAGCAACGGTTGCCAATCTTGACCAAATACAGAAATTGACCAGTGATACACAGCTTATCGTAGACTTGTTACGTGGTATGTTTGTTAGCATTGTTGTTATCTGTGTAATTCTGGTGAATTTAGTAGTTAAGTTCACAACGGAGGTGATATCCTTCTTGTAAGAAAGCCGTCCATCTGCAGGAAAGTTGGCCATGTGACCCAACTCATTTTGTTGCGATTTAAAAACGAAGAGAAAAACAAATGCAGGGGTTTTATTATGTTTGAAAGGCACATGGTTATTTCTTGAAAATACATGTTCAAGATCAGTTGTCACAGAGAATTACGCCTGGTCCAAGGATCAAACCTGCCCTTAATTACTAATCCTATGCTCTTCCTATTGAGCTAAAATGGTATGGCCTCATTAGCAGAAGCTGACTGCTGAACTAACTTAGCTCACTGTTATCAATTTGAATCATTATGCCCTCCGCTGCGGGTTTGAATCTGGTTGTTTGGCTAGCTTATGGAAGATTGATGGTCCTACTTGTATATTGTCGCACTTGACCCTCTCTAGAATATTGAATAAGACAAGGAATAGCACCCGAGTCTTTCCGCTGAAATATTGAATGAAAGTGACCATACAGTAAGACTTGTTTTGTTGCGACGTGAAATCCAACAGATGAAAATATTGAGATTATACGCATGTATTTGATGTTGATAAATTTGTACAAGAGACATGAATGTCATTGATTCTTGTAAGTTTTATCTATGTGTCATTTGTTTAAAATGGAAATTTACAATCCACATATTACTATTTATATTGATCTTATTCTGTTTCTTTAAGATGGTTAAGATATTTATGGAAACATATGTTGTACAATTGTGATCAATTCTTAGCGAGAATAAAAAAGAAATAAGTACATGTATGTACCTGAATACACCTGTGATTAATTGTTCAATAAAGAAAAAGGAAGATGCTGATTTAGCAATTCTGTATATAAGCAGGGTTGCCATTAAAAGGTGGATAGAGGCTGAAGCACATTTTTGGTTGCCTAAAAACTTAGGAAACATTGTATGTTGTTTAATGACCACCTCAAATTCAAAATGGACCGTCTCGGAAAAATTCTAATAACAGTTCTGCATAAGTATTGCATGATATTAAAAACCAAAATTATTTTACCCAGTACTACGATTGAATTAGTTATTATTGTAAAGCCTGTTTTTTTTAGGCTCTTTCGCTTGAAAATTTGGTGTTTGAAACATAAATTAAAGGTCATTGATGTGATTTTGGATTTTTTTATTGCCAATTTTCCTGAAATGAACCCTTTCGTTTATGTCAATGGTCAGGAAAATGTGCAGCTTGACTGGAACTCGAACCAAGGACCATCTGAATATCATTTCACAGCTGTATTAACTGATCTACTTGACTGCTTACCAATTTCTGTTTTAGTGAAACAGTTCTTTTTTGTGTTACTTGCATCCTTGAAAGATCGCTAGGGAAAAGTTGAATGTCCAGCTCTTAACACTCTTAGTTATAATTTTTTTTCTAAAACAAAACAAAACTATCGAGCACTAAATTTAATCAATTTTGTCATTTCAGAGTCCAACTTCGTGCAAGATGACGAGAAAGGTGTAAAAGTTCGGCCAAATCATAACAGATGTATTGTGATATTACGAGAGATACCAGAGTCAACCCCTGTCGCAGTACGTCATATTCTCAATGTTTTAAAAGAAAAGAAAAAAAAGCATTATTTGCTTGCCATTTGTTCATTATCACCTGATACCTCGGGACAATAATACAGTTCTTCGTCTACATCTTTATGGTTTATGAAGACATTTAATGTTGACCAACCTCAATTTGTTTCCTCATTCCATAAGAGCGAGCAATGGCATGGTGGTTAAGGATAGTTGCCTGTCAACCATATGATCATTGGTTTGAGTCTTTTATGGTCACTGTCATGCATGCTTGTAAAACTGGTTAATCCAGAAACCTAATTTAAAATATTAAATTAAAGTTGATATATAAATTTTAATATAATTATACTCGTTTTTAGCCAAACTTTTGTCATCGTTTGAGAAGATGTGAAGTTGATAATACATGTGAGACTATGTATAATTGTTTAAACTGAACTTCATCCACTGTTCATTGGTTGGACAGGCAGACAGGTTGTTTTAAAAATGTCCAGCAGTCCCTGAATATATTGCTTTTGACTCTTCATCATCTGTCAGTCTGCCTTGTCCATTTGCTCTAATACTTTACCCCCGGGTTTGTCAGTCTGTCTGATATACTTTATATTCTGTGATTTATCAATGAACGGGCTCAATCAACAATTGAGATTTTGCTATGTTAAGCATTCTTAAAGGTTTCTAATTTATCTACTTTATCTGTAATATTTATTGTTGTATTTAATAGGTAAATATATTTGTTAAAGATTTGTAAAGTTTTAGATCTGGCTACCTTTATGTCACATCCACTGCAGGCTTGAACTTAGAGAAGTATCAGTAAGCGGGCTTACATAGGCTTCAGCTTAGCCAGGAAAAAAGGCTCCTCAAAAAAAGCTAAGGGGGAATACCTTTTGCCATTCTTGTCTGTTTGTGATCTTAACCTGTTATAGGCTAAAAAGAATTGTTGATAAATTAAATAAATATATACATGTGTTTTTCAAATTTGCAGGATGTACAAGGGTTGTTTGGTGGCGCTAACTGCCCTAAATTTGTGAGTTGTGAATTTGCACATAACAGTAATTGGTATGTGACGTTTGACGCACAGAGGGCCTACCAGTATTTACGAGAAGAAGTTGGCACATTTCTTGGTAAACCTATAATGGTGAGTTATCCCATAGTTTCTGTCAACAGTCAACTTCTTTAGCCTTTTTGTCCCATCTTTCAAGCTTTGGGGAATTTTAAAATAAAAATATACATATCGAAGGGCTAAATAGCGATCAATAAGTGGCATAGGAATAGTGCATATATAGGTCACAGGTTTGCATCCCACCAGAGTTGTGATTCTATTTTGAGAATCCTCATGAGTGAGACTAAAAAAAGGATTTGAGCACCATACTAAATACCGTATTTAGGTATATACCGGACAAGGCGCTTGAATGATAAAATGCTAAAATCTTGCCATTTTACCAAATGGAATGAACTCATTAAGGTGTAATTCATCTTTTCACATAGATTTATGTATGATAATGGATGAAAAATGTAAAAATCGGCGGAAAAAAACATATTTCTCTATTTTGTGATCATGATTTCTGCAGGCCTCTAGAGTTACTGCTCCTATCCTGTATTGAGTTAAATCCAATTGTCACTGGTACAATTGCTGGCCACACTACCCAGTAACCAGTCACCTGACTTGACTGTAAGGATTATGTTTACGCAACCCCCGTCCATCCAAAAATAAGTGGTTTAAAAAGTGTGAGGAGCATCGGGTGATCTTTCTGTACCAGTAAAAGCTGAATCATTTTAACTGTGTCAGTGTTACCTTGAACTTATAATAATGGTTCTTTAAAAAATTCTCAGTAGGGCAGCCGTTGGGAATTTCACAGGAGTAAAAAAAAATGTTGTATGTAATTTGTCTTTGAACTGGAAAGCCTTATGATTTATATATTTTAGAAATATAATACAATGTTTTTATGTTTATGACAATATGTTTTAATGTCATTAGGCTCTGAAATATGAACCCAAGTTTGTACGTGAAACAAGTACAGTGTTAAAATCTGTTCTTCGTTACTTCTGTTAAATTGTGTTCTCTGGTTACTTTGGTTAAATTGTGTTCTCTGGTTACTATGGTTAAATTGTGTTCTTTTTTGAATACTGATGTCATTATACAGGATAAATTGTGCTATCAATTGAAATACAGTTCACAGATGTTAAACTATCAAGTTATACTCTGGAGAATTTGGCGACAGACAGTTCTCGGAATCGTGTTAAAGCTTGTATAGTCTAGAGACAGTTTATAATGTTCACTTACGTTCAAAGGCAGTACTAAGCACAGACGTGACAACATTTCATGATTTATTGAGAGAAATAAATATCGTCTGGGGGATTTCCGCTACCTGGCTTATATTTGTTCATCTAGAAGAGATTATATGTGTCAAGAGCAGGGATAAATATCTTGATATTTTATGCCCTTGAAATATTTGATATGAGCCGCGTCACGACAGAACCAACATAATGGGTTTGCGACCAGCATGGATCCAGACCAGCCTGCACATCCGCGCAGTCTGATCAGGATCCATGCTGTTCGCTTACCAACTCTATTACAAGTAGAGAAACTGATAGCGAACAGCATGGATCCTGATCAGACTGTGCGGATGCGCAGGCTGATCTGGATCTATGCTGGTAGCAAACCCATTATGTTGGTTTTGTCATGACGCGGCTCATATATTTGCGAAGCATACTCCTTTTGTTGAGTTCTATTCCAATAAAATAAAAGGGTATCTATGGCCCTCTGTAGAATAAAAGGAAAGTAACAAAAGAAATGGCTACTCAGTCCATTTAAGTATATATAAGTGGCGTGGTGGTATTTTAATGACTAACTTTTGGCCGTTACTTTATCATACATGGACTAGACATAACTATGAAAGAAACCTATCAGTTTAATGTATGAAAAACTTATGAACAACTTTCAAAGAACTTATATGTTAGGTCTTCTTCCCCCTCCCCAGCTGAAATATTTACATTTGCCACCACTGTGTTGAAGTGACTTTAGTAAGGTTTGTTAAGTGACCAAAAAGAGTAAATACATTTGTTGTTCATATATAGATAAAGAATCTGAAAATCATTAAGATATAATTGATGACTTTTAATATGTTCAAACAATTTTATGGATTTATTTTTTTTCCAGGCAAGAATAAAGGCAAAGCCTTTAATCCACAATTATCCTCGAAATGGCTATATTAACAAGCGGTTTCAACCGCCTCCTCCGGTAACAGCCCAGTTGCCTACGGAAGTTGTTACCTCGTCAGCCCCACAACCCCAGTTCACTGCCACACAGCCGTTCACACTGATGCCAAATGTATTACAGTATCTAAATAGTCAACAGGTTAGTTATATGTTTATTGCTATTCTGAATCTGCTCAAATATGTATTTTTGCTTGATTGTAAACAATTTTTGAGAAAAAAAGGAGGAAAAAAATGAAAAGCCCCAATGGCCGTGAGGTTAGGGTCGCTAACTTTAACAAATTGCTTCTCACCTTTGTGGGTTTGAGTGTTGTAAGGGATATTTGATTCTTTGAGTTGTTGACTTCATACCACTTGGCTCTCACCGCTGTAGGTTCAAGCAGTGTCTTCGGATTCTTTTATGTGAGGAATCTATTTAGCTGGCTAACAGAACGTTGGTGGTTCTACTCCTGTGCCTGAAATAATGTACAGAGGGTCACCTGAGCTCTTCCTGCAGACCTGTACTGAGTTGGTGCCAAACAAAAATGAAAATAAAATGGCATTTGAAGCAATTAAAACTTGTCACAATTGTTGCCATTCATGTTAATTGTGTTTCTCTGTTGCAGGCAATTCCATTTTACCCCCCACCCCCAAATCCTCTACTTCAAGCCTGGACAAGTCCTACAACTATAATGGATCCTAGTATGGTAAGATGTTTGTCTTTTTAGACTTTGCCCCACTTTGTTATTGGCCGAAATTTGAAAATTTCTGACAGTCTATTTTGCAGAGCAAGTTTTAAATAGTGTTTATTTAACTATGGATTTTAAATGTTGAATCTTATCTGGATAAGCACTATGCATGCCTTAGATGACTGACAAAGATGCTAATAAGAGAAGAAAAATGCATTTTAAACGGCCACAGTTGCTCCTACCATTTGTTTCTTCTTATAAGCGTCTAAATATTGCATAATGCTTACAAAAAAAATTCAGGTATAAGATCCATGGAGTTTTGAAAAATTCTCCAGTTTCTGTGTCACATATCTGTTTACAAAGCTTTTTTCATGTCACATATTTCTTTAAAAAGCATTATGTTACCTTTATTTATATATTTTTTACTGTAAGTGTGTCTTCCTTAACCCATTACTTCATATACACGCCTTTTAACGCCTTTTTCACCCCCCCCCCCCCCCCCTTTTTTTGTTGTCTCAAATTATGAAAAAATGCCTTATTTAGGCCCCAAACACTTGTTTTTGTTTGAGAAATGTTGTTAAAAAAAGTGACCTCTTTTTCGGCGCGGCCCCCCAACCAAAAGATACATCAGGGGGTTGCCAGAAGGGGGATGTGCCCCCTTCTGTTTGGGGGGTTTGAAGGGGGGCGGAGTCCCCCTCATCGCCAAGAAAATTTTGGACTTGTGAGAGGCTGTAAATGACCCCAGATTAATCATAAGGTAACGTGTAACCAACGCTGAAAAGCATTTGACTTTATCTCAATCCACTGAGAAGTTGCAGCACTTTGAAATCAATTTTGATGGAAAAAATCAACGCAAAATCGTGATTTTTGGCAATTTTGAGATGTCCCCTCGTTGCCATGGTCACAGAAAATTTAAGCCTGAGCATGTTGCTGCAAGGGCAATGGTCCAGTCAACATTTGTGCCAAGTTTGATTAGTGTTGAAGCAGTTTTTATAATATTATAGCAATTAAAACTTGTAACGGGAGACTTTTCAATGAAAACAGTCATTTTTCACAAAATGCTCATGAAGTAATGGGTTAATACTGGAGGGGAAGTAATTCAAACTGAAAGAATAGTTGTTCCTTATTACCACATATTTTACACCTGACAAGCTCTGTACATCTTGAGCCTGCATGATACATTATTTTATTATACAGTAACAGATATATATATATATAAGTAATAGAATTTTTTATTTAAACATTTAAATGATGAAGTAAAAGATGGTTTTAATCTGTTTGTAATTGATAAATTACTGGTGACAATTTTTATTGTTCAGTTATGTATATATTGTTGTATTTATTTGTTTTAGGTGTTAGCAATGAACGGTTACCAGGCAACCAGTGTAAATGTGAACTCTCAAGTCAACAATAGAAATATGTTCAACAGTGTCAGTAGGACTACAAACAATAATACCAGGTAAAACCAGGTTCTTATAATAATGATACCAAGTAAAACCAGGTTCTTATAATAATGATACCAAGTAAAACCAGGTTCTTATAATAATGATACCAAGTAAAACCAGGTTCTTATAATAATGATACCAAGTAAAACCAGGTTCTTATAATAATGATACCAAGTAAAACCAGGTTCTTATAATAATGATACCAAGTAAAACCAGGTTCTTATAATAATGATACCAAGTAAAACCAGGTTCTTATAATAATGATACCAAGTAAAACCAGATTCTTTTAATAATACCAGGTTCTTATGATAATACCAAGTAAAACCAGGTTCTGATAAAGTACCAGATTTTATAATACATTTTATAACAAGTAAAACCAGGTTCTTTTGATAATACCAGTTTCTTATAATAATACCAAGTAAAATCAGATTCTTATAATAATGATATCAAATAAAACCAGATTCTTATAAAAAATAATACCAGGTAAAATCAGGTTTTAATAGCAATGCCAGGTTCTTATAATAATCAAATAATAATCAGGTTTTCAAATAATACCAGGTCTACAAAAAACAATACAAGTGTTGTTTTTCCAGTCCTTGAAGTCATTGATTCCAGTACTTAATGTGTTGAAGATATTTGTCTATAAATTTGTGATTTCTTCTACTAAATTTTATTTTATTGCTTTTTGAAGGTCTATGATTTCAATATGATAATATTACATTGGAAATTTTCTAAGGATTGTCTCACTTTTGAATGAAATAATATTACATTAGATATTTTCTAAGATTGTTTCACTGTGTGTGACAGTTGGTAAACAACAGTTTTCAAAATGAAAAGTAGGTGATATTTCTCTCATTTTCTTATAGTATATTTTTGATGTTGATTGTATCATTTTGTGTTTTTTTCAGAAATCAAAAGCAGCATGGCAATAGTGGTCAGCCAATGGGTCGTGATAGGATTAATTCCAACGACTCGCTACCACCTCGTCTTCAGCACCAGCAGCACGAGCGCCAACAACACAACTCTGTAAACAACATGCACAAAAACAGTCAACCGATCTCAACCCATGCATCAGCGTACCAGGGTCGACGTGGTGACGGCCCCGGCCATGTCAGCCATAACAACCACAGTAGCCACCACAGTCACCATGGCAACCACTCGCATGGCGGACATTCGACACCGATGTCACATCCCCCACACCATCATCAGCATCCCCCGCAGTCGATGCCGCATCACCAGGTAATTTACCACTACTGGTGTAATACTGATTTCCTCCCATTTTCTTCCATTCTACGTCCACCCCTTCTCCCCTCCAGTGACTTACGAGGGGACCAACAAAAAAAATAAACATATATTTTGTGATTTATAAATTGTTACTTTGTCCAGCATTAGGATACATCACAGTTTCTTCTGTACATGACAATATCACTTAGCACATCTGTACAATAAGCCATTCACATAAGAGAGAAAAAAAAGAATTTCCTTAATAAATTAAGAAATTGGTCAAACTTGACAGATTCATGACTATTCTGTAGGTCTGTAAACCTCACTCCTATTGTTTGCCTTATTTTGTATAACATTTAATTTCAAGTTTTCATGATTTTGAGGTTATTTTGTCCTTGGATTGTGGTATCTGTAAAATGTCATGTTTATTCTGTTTATTCCGTCTTGACGGTGTCACTGTATTTGATATTTATGTTTTTATAATGCGGGAGAAATCAATATTCATACATTAAAATCTCCATATATCCAAAGATTATTTCCATTATTAAATTGCAACACTATTAGTTATTTGCTTCTTGTGGTAATTCTCTATGGTTTCATTATTGTGAAATTGCATTGGGGGAATGATATTAAAGCCTTTATATGGCATTAAAAGATATGAAACTAACCTCATTTCACTCCTATTTCTTAAGATTTGCATTTCTATTTCATTAATAACAGACTAGATTTGCTGACTTTAAATATTTCAAGGTTATTTTCATTTTCTGAATTACTTAAATAGATTCTAGATTTTACCAGCTTTGTGTCACTTAAATCAGGGCTTGTACTTAAAATACAAAATTGATAAAGGTGACAGCGTTTATGTCTTCACCTTTGGCAATCAAATATAATTATTGCCTTGTAATTGTGTGACCTACCCATTAGAATATTCCTTATCATTTGGCAAAGTAGATGCCTGGTTGAAAACCTGCTGGTGATAGTAATTCATATTGCACCTCTGATATGGAGTGAACATTGGACCCTTAACTTTAACCTGCAGGTTCCTGAATTATCAGATACTGTATAAGTGATTAAGTTGGTCACACTGAAATATTTTCGAATTTTACGATTTGATGAAAATCACACAAATTTCCACTAGCGTAAATATCACCCAATCTGTTTATGGTTTTACCCTACTGTGAGTTTTCAACCTACTCCCCAATATTTCCACATACAAAAAAATGTCTGGAATTTTAAATTCACTAACTTTTCTGCACACGGAAATATCCACTTGTACAGTAGTATTGTAAACTAAACTATCTTGAGACTGTGAAAGTAATGATACTGTGGAAAAAGATTGGACAGTCATGTGATAATGAAATATTTAAGCGTATTTATATTTCTACAGGTTCATCATATAATAATGATTACAGAACGTCGGTGGTTCTACTCACCTGTAATAATGCACGGAAGGGCACCTGAGGTCTTCCTCCACAAGAAAAGCTGGAACGTAGCTATTATGACCTATCTTGTGTCGGTGTGACGTAAAATCCAATGGAATCAAAAGTATGATAATAAGATGTTATAACGTTCTTCTATTTTTACAGGGTCATCATATGCACCAACAGTCGCAGCATTTAGATGGCAACAACAACACCAACAATAACAACAGTAATGGTGCATCTTTACACAATAGAACCTCCCAGGGGATGGACTTATCCCAAAGATATGCAGGGTAATTAACCATATACAGATATACCTCTTGTTTAAAATCCACCTCTGATTAGCAAATCAATCAATCACATCTTAAAAACCTTTCTTTTAAGTTCCAGGGTTTTCATTTTTATCTGAGGCAACATATGTACCAATTTGGCTAAGGGTCAAGGGGGGATATTTTAATCTACAAGCAGAAAATACAATCAATTTTAAGATTATATAGAGGTTTTAACTTGTTGATGCTATGATTCTTTCGAGGACTTTGGCATTGAGTTTGGGTATTAAGTTTCCAAGTGAATGAAATTTATGTAAAATTCTCATGGGAATGTGTGTGTACCAGCATAAACTATTAGTAAATTGAATACCAGTATGAATTGTTGATATTTAATAAGTTATTATTTAGAGGTATACAGTTTGTTATATGAGAGGTACACAATTTGAGAATATAGATGTAAACTGATTTATCAGAAGATATCATCACCTTAGTGCAGTAACAGGTTAACTCCTATCAAATTATATAAGGAGGTAACCTATTAATGCTCTTATGTGATGATATATGTATAATAACCCAGTGTGAATAAGTCAAGTTTCTATCTAAGCTTCATATGATAAAAACAGTTTTTCATTTCATCACAGTCTTACGTTAACTGTTTTTGTCAAGGATCACAATCCTTCCTAAATGTCAGGGGTTCCTTGCATAAAAAATTATTATTATATAAATTTTCAAAGTACATATTGTTTTGCTTCTATTATATAACTTGCCGAAAGAAAAAAACCTGATGCTTAAGTCGGCATGTGGTTAAAATAATTATTTTCACATTCCAAGGCCATTGTCTGTCAAAAGTCTGAAATATTACAGAAATATTTTACTGTATATTTTCAGAAAAAGCTACAAGAGTCGGAGAAGGAGGGAAGAAGATGGTGCTAGACCTAATGTAAGTTGATTTTCAACGCTTCTTTTGATGTAATGACACTCTTAAACTTTTATTTCGAGTTTCTGTGGCCAAATGGGTACGGTCGCGGACTTTGAACCACTTGGCCATCAGCGCTGTTTGTTTGAATCTGGACAGTGACTGAATTGCTTCATACAATGAATGTACTAGCTTACAGAAAGTTGACTCATGTGTGCAGTTCAGGGGGAAAAAATACACAGAGATATTTATGCATCTGTATTGGTTTAAGTTTTGCAAACCAATCAATCTTAAAACAATAACTCGGATCATGAGGATTTCTTATCTGTGCTCTGGTAAAGAGTTATCTAAGTTATCGGCTTTAGAATAACCTGTCACTTGATATTTATATATAATTATCTTAATATCAGGAATGGATAACCATTCCTGATATTAAGATAATTATATATAAATATCAAGTAACTATAAAGTTAGCATTATGAATGTAGGTTGTCATTGTTTTATTCATATATAAAGGGAGAGAACTTCATTTGAAATATAAGATTGTTATTAGAGATATGTCCAGATCTCATCTTGTATAAACAAATTAAACAACTTTTCTGCTTAGTTTTGATATTCTTATACTTAAATTCTTATCATTAATAATAGACAGTCTCAAATTAGCAGCCAGGTAAATCGGTAACACAAACGTATGTTTAAAGTCTCTCAATTTCTACAAGTTTTGCCATTTGTAGTTATATGTAAATCTTTTTGTATAGATTAAGCTTCTGTTGTGAATACTTCAATATTAAACATTTTTTATGGAAAATAAAACATCCTAGGAATGCCTTTGTATTTTGTTGCTAGCTTGTTATAGCATACATGTGTTGTTTACTGTATTGCAGAGGTCAAATTCTTCCCAGCCTTCAACCCGTGATGGTCAATCGGTACACCAGGCACGACCCATGTCTATAGACAAGTTTGATTACGAACCAACAAGTTTCCCACCACTGCCAGGATCGGGGGTAAAACTTCAACTTTTGTTATTATCTATGATCTACTGTAATATCTTGAAATTATCTTCTTGAAACTTTGAAAAGTTGCAAGAGGTGGGTGGTTAAGGTCATAGATTTCAAACCACTTGCCTGTCTCTGCTGTAGGTTTGAGCTGCACAAGCATTGTTGGATTCTACATGTGAGAAAACTATCCAGCTAGCTTACTGAACATCGGTGGTTCTACTCCGGTGCCTGTTCGTGCCTGAAATAATGTACAAATTTGTTGAGTAAAAAAAAGAGATAATTTTTTTACATTATTTAAGAAAATATATCTGTTGTAACCATGATAATTTGTGGCATTTATGATGTTTGCAATAAATTCAATTGTAATTCAATACTCTTATGAAGTTTGTACTAGTAGCAAATAACTTAAGGCACATTACTTGGATATTTGTATAATGTATTGTTGTTGTTTCTTTTGTCTTCTTTACAAACTGATAAAAAAAATGTAAAATTATATTTTGAAAAATAAAATATTGTTGAATATTACAGAATAACGCCTCATCTGGGGAAATTTTTGAAAGCAAATTGTCCGATGTTGTCAAGGGGACGGCCAAACCTCAAGTGAAAGATGTTCCAAAACCAGTCAGCGCTGTATTACCGGTATCCACGGCAACCACTACAGTGACGACATCAAAACCAAATATGTCGTCAAGTAGAGAAGATGAAGTCACTCCCAGTAGTAACCAGTGTCTAAGTAGTTCTTCATCGTGTTTGACGTCGGCAGCACCCGTCACCAAAAGTACGACCGGAAATCTGTCGCAACAACCTACTGTCTCTCAGCAAGTCAGGTTTGTCATTATTTTTAATAAAATTTAATTCGGCTACCTCAATGGCTTAACGGCCATTGATTCATCGAGTCCTTAGAATAGTAAACTTCTACAATTATTTCATTGCTGTTTGAAAGCATACCTACTCTTAAAGTGTTTGTTGTTTTTTTTCTCAGAAGGTGGCAGACTTGCAGACTACAGCAAGCTTATGTAACTTGAGTGATTCTACGCAGGGAGGGGCACTTGAGGTCTTTTCTGCTATTGTTTCATTGCTGTTTCTTAGCATGCTACTCTTAAAGTGTTTTTTTTTCTCTCAATGTGGCAGATTCTTGTAGGCTTTACAGCAAGCTTATGAAACCTAAGTGATTCTACAGGGCCAAAAAACCCTTGTTTGCAGAGGCCGAATATAGGCTGCTTCCCCAACCAAACTAGCCTCATTTTTTCCCCAGTTTGGTCATCGAAATTCCCCAGTCTTTTGAAATTTCCCATAGAAGTTGGAACAAAATTAAATGATGGTGTTGAATTAAGGTCTTTTACTGCCATATTAGTATTTCCCAGTGCTTTTTGCTTTTCTATTTTGAAGAACTTGTTAAAATTTTGTGTTAAATATGAGACACCTTTTTCCAAAGTATGCCAAAATCATGCATATTTTCCCCAAGAAAAAGGCTGAGGCCCCTTCCCCAAAAATGGTGTTTTGGCCCTGTTCTATTCAGGGTCACCGGAGGTCTTCCTCCACCAATAAAGCAGGGTCAGGGTTAAAATAAAGGGTAATGAACTGTAATGAATTTGTGTATTTCAGATGTTCAGCAAGTACGATACAATCAGTGCCTGATAGTCGGGCCGGACGTGAGCCAGATGTGAAGTCTAATAAAGACCGAGAGTTGGAATCCCGACCAAATCGGGACAGACAACAACAACAATCAAATTCAGTATGTATATTTCCATCTTGTTTAATGTTTGTTTAACTTTTAAATGTAATTTCTTAAATTATGTATAAATGTTGCTGGTTATGCTTGGGTGCCTACTCATAACAGTTTAAATTGACCGAGAGGGGCACTGAAAGTCATTCTTCACTATTGAAGCAGTTATTAAAAGTTTATATATGTTTTAAAATTGGACCTAAAGAAATAATTTCATTGTATAATAGGTTGGCAACATTCAGATTGATCTGTTTTACAGTTATTCCAGTTGTGAATTTTCTTTAAGCAATTTGTTACTTTTATTTGAACTAGCAAAATTCATTTGATACAACTTTTGTACAGGGTTCGTACAGTCTTAAAAAGTGCTTAAATTTGAGTCCCTGTCTTAAAAAGTGCTTAAATATGTAAAATAGTACATAAAACCTTAATTTGGCCAGAAAATGTGTATAATTCAAGAAAAAATGGTGAATAAACTATCCTTAGGTTGAATATTGTGTTGATATATGTGCAACAAATGTGCTTAAAAATGGGAATACATGCTTAAATAGTGCTTAAAAAGTCCTTGAATTTTGGCATTGGATGTCTGTATGAACCCTGCACTCTAATCAATGTTCATAAGAAGACACCTTAAGGCTTTTAATTATTGTAATGAAGTTGGAGGTACTATTAAGATGCCCGCGTCATACCTGAAATAATGCTGTTAATGGGTACCTGAGGTCTTTGTCTGCTAGTTTAACTGAAATAGGCCTTTTACATTTATGGTATTGGTGTGACTTTAAACCCGATCAAAATGAATGAATTAACAGATTGTTTTGTGATGTGTTTACAGGATGACAATACTGCCTCACTTTCCGCCAACTCAGTCAAACTCTCCTACGCTCAAATGGTGCAAAAAACAAAAGTCGCTGAAGTATCTGCTAACTCGCTCGCTGACCAATCAGACGAGTCGGAGAGCGAGGACGCCGATTCGTCTCAAGCTCCGAACCGAGCACTTAAAGAACAGGGTCAGCACCCGACTCAGTCTAGCTCAAAGCCATCAACACGTGGGTCTGGGAAAGATTTCTCGCGTAAAGACAGTAGAGAAAATGAAAGTGATTCTCGCCGAGACGATAAAGACTTGAGAAAGGAAAATGACTATCGTAGAGACGAACCACGTGAACAGAGAAATAGACGACTGAAAGAAAATCGCGGAGAGCGTAGGTACGGTGGAGATCGCGACTTCAGTTATAGAAATGATCGTCGTGGGAGAGATGGACCCCAAGCACGTGAAAGAGATGCCCCAAAGCCTGCCACCGCCGCTGCGATTGCGAAGTGAAGGGATGAAATAAGGCAGCATCTTGATTGTTTCACTGGGGACGAGAAAAGAGAATATTTGCATTTCAAATGACATATCAGCATTTCTATTGGGATTTGGGTTATTTTGTTTTTACACACACACAAAAAGTTGTATCATATGATACTGGTGTAACTATTTGAAAGATTCCAGTTTTCTTTTTTCGTACTTTACTGAAAGCAGATGGTTTGTTGATGACCGAAGTTGATTATAGGAAATATTAAACTGGACCCGGCAATCAAATTGCGTTTCGTTCAGTCTCTGATTGATAATTTCCTATTGGAAAAATATGATGGAAATGAAATTTGTATGGAGAAAAAATAAAACAATTGAACCTTGCTTTAAAAAGTGTAAAGGATGACTGGTTGGATTTGAGTCGATTATTATCATGGGAAGTGATAATTGTAATTATCATGCAAGTTGATATAATTATCATGCAAAGGTGATAATTTTGTTAGGAATGATAACTGCACATGCCGTCTGCTGATTGATATTTAAGCGTTGACCTGTTTCAAGTGAGTGCCAAGTTCTGACACACAACCAACCATATTATTTGCGAGTTTCTCTCGTTAACAACCATATTTTGTTTTTCCGGTTTACTACGGAGTTTTCCGGTTTTACCGGAGATCAATGAAATTTTGAAATGGATAATTTATGTTTGTATTTATCTGGTTGATATTTTTGTCATATACTCCTGCATTGTGAAAACAAAACACGTTTTTTTTTTTCTTCAATATTCAAGAGGTATTTTGTATTTATCATTTTAAAACCTTAATGGATAACTGCTTTTTGTTTCATTCTGCCGTCATTGTGTAGAACTATTTATAACTTTGGGCTCTTTCATGAAGTTTTAATCACATTTTCATATCATATAAAAGTTTCATAGTTTACCTTGTTGTGTCCAAGAGCAATATCCTGGCTAGTCAATAAACCGGACCGAACCGGTCCCGTGCTCATTCCGGTCACCTGGTAGAGATCGGTGATCGAGCAATTGTATAATGAACCGGATTTTAGTCAAAAAACTTGATTTTATCGGGGATTTAGTTTGACTATAAAGATAGCATAAGATGTGGAAATTGTCATTTTGAGAATTTTAATATCAGGTATAGAAATGATACTTGATTGTCAAAGATTTATAAAGATAACCAAGTTTCTATTGCAAATAAGTGATATGCATCTAGAGAAAATATTATAATAAGGCTTGGGTTGTCCATAGTAATAATTGTATCTTCAAAAAAGTGTAAAACTACCTCTATACAAATGGATTTTGTTACAGCTGATTTGATTGGCTAAGAGATTGTTCACAGGATTTTTATTCTTAAAATGAGCCAATGAAATTCGACCGTGAATTCCTGTTTATCATTTAGCAATTCTGATTGGCTGATTTGTGTAGTGGAAAGTTTCTCTTAGCCAATGAAATCGGACAATGGAGAAGTGTGAACACCCCCATTAGATAAATGTCTTATGAGCAGATGAATAACTTTGTGATAAATGTTATGTTAATCAGTCTTTCATTAGATGGAATAATGCCAGGGCTATTCGGCTTATAACTCTTTATTATTGTTATATCTTGTAATAACACTATGTCTGTGTAATTGTTGTCAATGGAACATGCCAACTAACATTTCATCATTTCACATATGTACAGGTTTTTTTACATTATTAACTCAAACTATTCCAAAGCATTATTTTGCTGCTTTTATAATTTTGAAGAAAGATTTTTTTTGTATCATTTCTATTCGCACAGGACAAAATGTCTGTCAATGTATAAATGAACGAACACATATTTAAAGTAAATAATGGCAGTTGGTTGATGACATTTCACAGGCGGTTTCTTTTCTTTTTCTTCCTATCTCTTGCTTTCCCCTTCACTTGTTACTGCTCAGTTTGTATAGTTATAATGAGGAGTATTTTTTTGCAATTATGTTTAGTGGAACAATACCAACATTTTCCAATAATTCACCAACAATTTGATATAAGTAAAGATTTATCTAAACCAATATTTTCAGTTGTGAAGTTTTTACCTAAACCAAAATTTGCTATTGTGAAGGTTTACCTAAACCAATATTTGCTATTTTAACCAATATTTTCTCCTGTGAAGATTTAGCATAACCAATATTGTTATGGTTAACTTTAACCAATATTTTCTTTTTTTTGAAGATTTACCTTAACCAATATTTGCTATTGTAAAGGTTTAATCTAAACCAATATTTTTCTAAACCAATATTTTCCTTTGTGAATTTATTACCAAAACCAATATTTTCTGTTGTGAAAATTTACTTAAACCAATGTTTGCTATTGTGCAGATAAACCATTAATTCTCTATTGTGAATTTTTATTTTTGAGACTAAAAATAACCAGTATTTGCTATTGCAGAAATTAATTTAAACCTATTGTGGAGCTATTAATTAACCAATACTAGCTATTGTATAGATTTAACTTTGATCATTATTTGCTATTGTTAAAAGTGTAAAACCTGAAAGCTTACATCTGTGCAGTACAAGTGATCCCCCCAAAATTTAATATTTTGTATATTATTTACTTCAGACATATTGCATTTTGTAGTCCGTTCTAAATGGTGGATGTGACGTTCAAATGAATTTGAAACCTCCACATTTATGGCTTTATTCTTGCATTGTTAAATAAAAAACCAGATATTTCTTTTGTTTTGAAAGAATGGCACCCCACATACTTGTTTTTTGTTTTTTGGGGGGTTTTTTCAAGTCACACTGATGTACATTTTACTTTGTAGAAACCAAGTTACAATGTGGATAGTAATTACATTATATAGGTTTAAATTTGTATAAATAATTTTTGGGTTAAATTGTTTCATTTTTTATGTGAACTCATTTTTGTGTATGACTAATGAAGGAGCGTCGCTTTAAATGCTTCTGTTGATGTAATTTGTAAATTATGATGTTAACTTTGGCAGGATATATAGCAGTAGATGTAAAAATGTCGTAGTCGATATGAATGGTAAAAATGTAAAGCAGAGGTGTACTTTTGAAAAATCTGTAGGCTATATTTATCTTTGCAGGAAAACTTGAAAACCCACTTTCATTTGTGTATATGCATGTATACACCAATATTCTCGTGAAAATTAAAAAAAAAAAACCATTAACCAAAGAAAAAAAGATATATGAAAGAACAAAACTCACTTGTCACATTTTTTTCCTTCAACCTTAAAAAAAAAATATGTCAATTTTGACAAAAAAAGATTTCGATGTCAGATGTTTAAAAGTAGGCCGAACGTAAAACACCAGGCATGTCCGTGCCATTGGAACATGGTGTACACAGTTCACTTTTTGGTCAGTATTTTAAAGAAATAAGCCCCAAAACAGATGAATGGTTTTGTTCAGGTGGAAATATCGTCAAGTCTATTCTAGATATTTAGTGTTGTAAAGATTAGATAAAAGTTATATTCATCTTGACTTAACTTAAAATCAACATAAGATCTCATTCCTTTATTAAATAGTTAACAATGGATTAAATTATTTGCGTTTACCTTGTTTTAACTGATTAACAAATTTAATGAAAACTGCAGCTTGCAAGGTTATTCCAGCATATTCACAAGAAGTGGGGAAAGGAGTTTTTCAAGTTGTCTTGTATAGATTTCTGAATAAGTGACAATATAGATTTCGTATTCGTAACTGGTGCCAGATTCATTAAATTATACATGTATTAATGCGTTAATCACTGAATCATCGTAATGTTTAATTAATTGGACATAGAGTATATATATATACATTTTGTTACATATTTTTCTGCTATTTTGTATATGTTCTCGCCCCCATATGCCCCCCCCCCTCCCCCAATTTTGCAGGATGTGTATATTTAATGTTGATATATATATATATATTTGAGCTTCATTTTTTTTTTTCTTTCACGATGTGTTTGATTTTTTTTTTTTTTGTATGTTTTTGGATTGTTATCAATTATAGATTTGTTCATGTCATATGAATATATGCTTGGTTTAATTGTTATAAAGTGAGAACACTAATTGAACGCTTTTTGGAACACTGATCTTGTTCTCGATGGAACACATGGTTTGAAAATTTAATTTAGGCAACACATGTGTTTTATTTATGAATTCTGTACAAAAGGACTATTCCTAAGAATTGAATGCAATAGAAAAACATTGTGTTCTTTCTTCCATTGAGTTGGAAGTAGTGTATCATTTTGAAAAAAAGAATTATTTGATTCCTTTATATTACTTAAGCATTTAATTGTAAAAATTTAACGTAATATAGTGAACTCGTATATTGCTGTCCAACAGGCATTAAAACTGTAAATAAAACACTGTATTGTAGGTGAAAAGAAATAGTCCACTTCAGTTTCAAAAGAAAAATACTAAAAGTCATGTAACTATTTATTTGTTAAAGCTCAATATAAGGAAACTTGTTATATAAAATAATATTATTTCTGAGAAATGCTGGCTGTTTAAAGAATAAAGTGTACATGTATATATATCAAATATACATGTATATATATAATATTTAAGGATATTCAATGTGTTGCCTAGGTTACAGCTGATTGTAATGTGCTCACTGATATAGTCGCGTCTGTCCATCTGTAGATTTTCCACAGTATTAGATTACAGAGTAAATGAACCATGTCATTAAAAAAAACATACATACCTAATACACCATTGCAAGTTTCAAAAAGCAAATCATAGATGCAAAGATGATAGAAAAGAAAACGAATAGCAAAAAGCACCAAATGGCAATGTTTAGAAAAAGTAAAAATAATTAAATTGTTTGGTTTTTGGGGTGATTTTTGTATTTACTTGATTATAAGTCTGATTTTTATGTGTTGGTTAAGTGGGGTGTATGAAACGCCTTGACTTATAGGTGGGTCATCAAAGCACTTATGACAAAAATAATAGAGTCTTAGTAAGAAACTGTTGGTTTAGATCTGGTTCTTATGTTCTACACTTCTTATAACAAAACTCAGAACTTATGTGAGTAAAAATAAGACTTGCTGACTATCTATGTAATATATTATATGAAATCATAATACTGATACTCTGAATTCAGCTCTGACATGGGTCTTAAGATATATTGTCATTTCAAATTTATCGTGATAAGCATATGGGGAATTTTTTTTTAGTCTTTATGCGAGATGTTTGAGCTTTAATATTTTTGAACATGATAAATCAAACTTGCTTGTCGTTTACAGAGAGAACTTAATATATTTTTGTAGGGTGCTTTCTTTGCGTTTTTGTTGTGCTATATAAAATGTTTCACTGGTTACTATATAATCACTTGCTTAATTAATCCCGGGCAACATAGAAAAACCAAAAATTAACCAAAAAAAACCCCAACCTATGTGTTCTGTTAGAAAAGAAATTATTAGGTGTTGTCATTATGATTCCCGAACATTTTCATTTTTTCTGACTGGCGATCGTTTATCATTTAATACTTGATTTGTACTCCACTTTTTTTGCAGGATAAACAGGAATTACTAAGGTTGTGAGGATGTAACTGAGCTGTCTGAAAAGCATGTGTGACTCAACCGCCTTAACTGCATTATTTTGTTACTTTCTGAGAAGGGGCGTAGGGGGGGAAATGACATTATTTTAAACACCAGAATGTTTTCAGTATAGATGTAATTAAGTGGTCAAGATTGTAAGAGAAAATTCATGTAAGAATGTGTGTATAATTAGGAACAATTCTGTTTTGAAAGCTTGACTTTGGAAAAAAAAGTTTCGCAAGGACATTAACAGTAAATTTAAATTCTAGTTAAAGTAGGTATATTATTTTTCTCATAGATTTGGGTTGAAGACATTTCATTCAAAGCTATTTTATCTTATGCCATGGATTAAAGTGTTCCATTTAGAATAGAGGCTTCTTTCTGTAGGATAAACGGTGTGTTAGATATTGGGATAGCATTTCAGGACTGCTGGTTAGATAACTGTTTGACTATTAAATGGGAAATCATTGGAATATATTCACAATTTCACACTTATCTCGAAACTAACTTGCCTATTTTATATACTGAATAATCCAGATTGAACACGGAAGTTGAAAACTTTCTTTTACTGTTAGATTTAATGACTTTTAAGTGAGAAAATATGAGGGTGTTAGTGTTTCAAGCATAAGAGAGAAATAATTGCAATATTAAAGCCAAGTTTGTATCAAGTAACTTGGAATTTTAAAGGCCCTTCTGGCAACTAAACTATTGTTATTTTTTTTGTTCTTGGTATTAAGGGGAGGTAATAAATAACAAGTTGAGTCTGAAGTTAGGTCCCTTGTAAGATAATTTTTCTATTTTTAGTATGTAAGTGAGAAGAGGGGAATCTATAAATACCCAT